AATGATGACGATGATGATAAATAATTGTCATTTTGAAACGTATTTTACTGGGCGGAAGTGCATGGAATTTTATGTTTTCATTTTCTACAACTATACAAAATATATGTTCAGCCTTTTAAATTTAATAATTTGGAGTGACCAGCAATTAGAAGAAATTGATTATAAGATCTATCCATATAATATTACTATTAATGTTAGGAAACAAATTATAAACTCTTACTTACGGTCGAAAATTGGGAAATCTATACTTCTTGACCTGATTTGTGTGTTTATTTGCGTATTTGTATTATTTCGTAAAGTACCTACACTGTTATAAACCAACGCTAATGAACGGTAATCGTATAAACATACATTAGCTTAGTCAATAATTTTCAAGAACCACATTTGCATATTTCGGTACTCATAAGTGTTACCTATACCTACAATAAAAATAATAAAAAGGCATCTGTGGCTCTAAAATCTAAATATATAAACTGAAATAGGTAGAAAAGGAGCATTACATTATATCATTAGTGAACTTCTGCTTTTTTTCTACGTGTTTTATCTAAATTATACAAGTCTGTATTTACTCATATTCACATGAATTAATCTTTTCCCTAATTTTAATCTTGACACAGATTTAGAATATAATGATGTAGCTTATCAACTTTGAATAAAAACTACATATGTGAAACTAAAATTGAAACAGATAAGGGTTTTAAATGGTATGAAATTTTATTTGTTATTGTAATTCATTTACTTTGTCAGTTTTTTCAAAGCAAATTATGTAGAAATTTGGTATAAGAAAGAATCTTCAACTAACATCAGAATGACTTGGCGATGGAAGAGTCGATATGTCTGTTTATTGGAACTCCATTAGATTTTTTGACGTCTTTGGTCAATATATCGAGTATAGTTTGCCGTGAAAATTTGACAATATGATTAATCCAAAAGGTATTTGGTTTTATTGATGATTTTATTTATTTAATTATGTATGTGACTCATTATGTTTACTTAGTTAAGATAAAAACAACTCGTATTTACATTTTCTTACTTTATACAACTACTTCTAATTTATTTTACATAATAATGAATTTTATGTTTAAATTTATGAAGCTGTCTTGCCGATGAGCCGATGAAACACATAGTGAGAGAATATTTTTGTTATAAGTATGCAAGTCATGTTTATTATAATACAATGTTATTGAAGTGTATGGTTTTGGAGTTTATCAATTAAGTATGTGTAACACGTAAAAACAAAATCATTATACTAAAAAAGTTCAAACATGTGGAACAGGTATGTATTTTTTTACTTTGTTGTTTATGATTTTTATACTCTAAGTTTCGACAGTTACAACGGAGGAAAATATGTAAAAATTTATGACGATGAACGATTCGTTATGCTGATTAAATTTATGTTATATCAATTTATGACTTTTCTTTTGAACATGTTCATTAATAATAAAAATAAAGTTAATTGTATAACATATTATATAAAATTTTTCTTAGGAGAATAAATTTAATCTAAACCCATTTATGAATCAAAAGCACTTTACACTATTCCTTTGGGAAAACTTTACAAAACTTATATTTTTTGCGTTCAAACTTAAATGTGTTTTTGTAAAGAATGTTATTCTAAATGTTTCGAGTGCCATGAGATAAAGGTATAGCCTCCCGGGAAATTATTGCCAAAATCTCACGCCTGCCTATAGAGTACAGAGAGTGTGCTCGCCTCCTTTGTGTTCAGAATCAATTCCCGTAACTTATCTGCATATTTTATAAAGCGAAGCGAAGTGATGTTGCAGTAAAGGACTTTGTTTTAAGCGACGTGAACTAATTATATTAACATGTTTGTTGTTTATTTCGCGAAGAATATAAAATATGCTTTCTATTGTGGTACTATACCGTTGTATTAAGCATGTTGTTCATATGAATAGGTTTCCTTTAGACCTGCTTTCTTTAATATCTGAATGTATTGTATATATATATATTTAATAAGACATTGGACAATGGACATTCAGTTACAAGAATTAAAAATAAAACATTTAAGTTTACAACCAAATGCAAAACATAAAAGTCTTACTAAAATACTATTACGAATGAATAAATACGAGATCATATTAAAAAAAAATCATGTCCCTACGTAAATATTTCACAATTTTTGTTAAGGTTTTTCATCTTTTGAAAATGTATCAATATTTTTTTTAATCACTCAAAGGATGGTTAAAAACTTCACATCGAAATCGATAGAAAATATGGTGCAGATAGTAAATATATGTATTTTAATTTTAATAAAATCAATTTCACCAAACTAAAAAATTCAAATCAAATATAAATTACGGTGTCTTATTATAATAATCAAATTAAAAGTATTATGTAAAATATTATAGAATAAAGTTGTGTTTTCAATCAAAAATTTCTTATACTATATTGAAAAAGTTCCATTTACCTTAACGCAATGGCTAGGATGTTAGAATAACATTTTTTTATTATGAACTAGAAGACCCGGCGAACTTCGTATTGCTCTATAATCAAGAAATATCTGTTACGTTTTTTTAATTTATATTTTTGGAGTTTACCTTTAAGCCATAAATCTCCGTGTTTTGAAGTGCTACAGAATGATTGACATATTAGTTATTTGTCAAATCTAATGTCAAAGAAAAAACGTTTGTATGGGAAATAGAAAAAGGCTGTTTTTAGGGTTTTCCCGGAAATGAAAATTTTTTTTCAGCTTTTAAACCTTGCCTGAATTTCCAATAACATTTCAAGACTAAGATAAGATAAATCCTTTCAGCCGTTCTCGAGTTTTGGTGAGACTAAAAAACAGCAATTCATTTTTATAAACATATATATATAGATTTCTTACAAATATCAATTTGTCATTATATATCTGTCATTATACGTCAATTACGTAGCTGTCATTTGTGTTTTGTTATTCCAGGTCTGATTATTTTTTGTTATACCACGTTTTATAGTGACTGACGTTTTATGTCAATCCACACGGAAATGCTGTCGAACGGCATAAAAAGTATCCTATGTAATTTTCCTGGCTCTAAACTACCTCCCTGCCAATTTTCAGCTAAATCGGTTCAGCCGTTCTTTAGTTATAAGTGGAGTAACTAACATGACTTTCTTTTGTATATATAGATTATGAGTTCTCTTGATACCAGATCTAGTGTTTGTTCAAACATAATAATCCATTTAGCTCCGACCTGTCATTGGTAGTTATTAAATGTAGGGCCACGATTGAACTGAGTATTTCCTCTTTTCTTGCTTATCTTTTCTTGCTAAATATACGAACAGCTCCTAATATTAACATATTATGGATTTAAAATATTGTCAGGGTTTAATTTTTGTAAGCTACTTTTAAAAAGCTATGATAGATATTCCTAGTATCGCACTATAATGCTTCACTTCTAGTATGCAGAATACTATTTAATTTATGGATTCAAGTCACTTGGAGTACAATTTCTGTAAGTTATTATTTCAGTATATGACATTTAATTAATTTTGGTAGTATTGGTGTAAGTTAATATATTTGAATAGTTCACGATTTATTTAATCAAATAGCACTCGAAGTACGCAAATAACCTCTCATAGTTAAAATTATGTATTCGGTAAAATATAAATAGCTACTAAAACTGTGCGTTTTATATCAATTATTAATGATTCAAGACAATTATATTGAAATATACAAATTATATCATGCAGAAAACATTAGCAATGGCAACTAAGTGCGGTGCATGTATCGATCTATCAACAACAATGCCGGAGCAGTCTGCCGGAATGTTAAACCCTGATTAGATTAGTTGACAGAAATCAATGCTAATCGGTGCAGATTAATTAATAATCACATTCATTAACATATCATTAATAGATATATCCGTTTATCGACACCAAACCAATTTATTAACTCGGTCGGTCTCAACCAATATTTGACACGTTAAACGTTTAAGAATAATAAATATAATTGAATCGTTTTGTATATCATTATAAATTAAATTTATTTCTACTGAATTTAAAGTTTATGAAGCCGGTTATTCGTAATATATATAATATGGTCAATACCAAAACCAGCAGATGCAGCAGTCTGCTGTAATTTGCTTTTGATTCAAGTTCTAAATGCAGCAAAACGTTTAGTTTCTTTTGTGTAATTACAGTATAAGGAAGTTCATATGTGTAGGAACTAAGCTATCTCGGATTCAGTGGTACGGGAGCTGAATTTAAGTGATCTTATTTGCTGCTACGCGATTGAACGCGCTATGTTTTCGAGGCGCGTGTTGTGAATTAACAATGGTTACCTGTTTCATTTTGCTTAATTATTGCTCCTTAACACATTGTTGCATGGCAATATTCAATGGAATACTTTAAGGTGTGAGACAAAGTAATATATTAAAATTTAAAATAAAAAAATTGAATTGATGAACAACCAATAATTGAAAACTTAACCTAAAATTGTATACAATTTTTGTATACTTCAGTTTTAAATAATCTTCTATATATATAAAAATGGATTGCTGTTCCTTAGTCTCGCTAAAACTCGAGAACAGCTGAACCTACTTGGCTAATTTTAGTCTTAAAATACTCCTGGAAGTCCAGGAAAGGTTTAAAAGGTGAGAAAAATTGGAATTATTGCCAGGAAAATCCTAAAAACAGTCTTTTTCTATTTCCCATACAAACGTTTTTTTTGACATTAGATTTGACAACTAACTAATATGTCAATCATTCTGTTTGATTGAAACAGGAAAAACCTGATTATTTATGGCCTCCAAGAAGGAATAGAGTTCTCCTGGTCAGCTATACATATATTACTCTTGACCAAACTAACGCGGACGAAGTCGCGGGCAAAAACTAGTATATTATACAAAGGTAAGTGAAAACATTAGATTTTATAAATTGAATGTTTTAAGAATTTTTAATAACTGAAATAAGAAAATCGAAATGAATCGAAAACTAAGTATATAAATACTATTGTTATGTTTGACTCAATTTACCATCCTGATATTAAGTGTATTTTGTAGAGCTAAATGCGGTTCCAGATGGTATTGAGCGGCAGCGATTGTTCACGCCACCATTGCAGCGATTCATTCCTCCTGTTGTTCTACATTTCGCTAGTCAGAGATCTGGAATTGAAAAACGTTTGATTGGCTTTCACTTCAGTCACAACTAGATATAGTCAACTTAGGATATGCACTCGCCATTTCAAAGGAACGTCCATGTCACTTTTTTAATTGAATTGGATATTGAATGTCCCTTTCTGTTTGAGGGTTTTGTGATATTGATCATATCTTTCTGTACATTTTTTATGAAGTGTGAGTTTTATTATTAAATAAAAGATATACATACGGTATCACTATATGCAACAGTATAGGTATAGAAACGAAGATAATTTTTAAATAAATTAATTGAAATCATTAATCAAATAAAGCAAAGGCATATTTAAGGACATATGTTTAAAGACTTTAAAAACAATTTTAAAAGCTTTTAAGGGTGTTGTAGGTATTGACAATAAGATTGAATTAGCGAGGGTTTCTAGGTTTGCTGGTAATCCTATTGCGGCGTCGACCCACGTCAGTTGTTGCTGAAAGTTTCAACGAGCTATAACACAATGCTTTAACGCCTCGGGATTTACCTCCGCTGTGACGGGAATGAATTGTGAGATCAGACGGTTTTACTTGCTTAAGATACGTTCCAATGTTTTCCCATTTTTTACATTTGTTTCCGTTGTATCTATGTATATATACGAGTATATATTTGTTTAGTTAATAGATAGTTTTTAATTTTCCTTAAAAACTAAGATTCTCAATGCAATCGCAACAGGGTTATTGCGGATGTCCACGGGCGACGGTGACAACTGCCCATCAAGTAGGCCGTGTGCTCGTTTGATACTTTTCTTATTAAAAAAAAATCTAGTCTGCCTGCGATCATAGTATCATACTGTAAAGGTGCCGAAATGTCGGGAGTATGGAGTTAAATGCTTACTAAATCCAAAAATCTTCGTTTTTCTTTATACTTGTATGGATTTTTCAATATATTTGATCAAATATTCAGATTAAACACTTAAGGAAGATTAAAGAACAAACTACCTAAGAATCACGTGGAATGAAATGTTTTAAATAAAATAATACGGTAGAAACAAATATAAATATTCACATTCATAGATCGTTTTCAATCCCGAAAAAAATTGGTCTTACTTTATTTGAAATTCTAAACTACATATTTTAACATTTAAATAAAACCACAATGAGTTAAAACTTTATGTAATATTGTAATATATGTATATAGCAATTAAATAAATTTCGTTTATAAGGGACAAAGAATCAAATTATTACCAATTGAAATAAGGACCGTAATCTAACTAGGATTTTTTCCAGATCTATTCAAGTATAAAAAAGTAGGTCCCAATAAGATAAAATTCCGTCTGCATTGTTCAGTTGGTTTAATTATACATATAAATGTGGGTTATCTGACACAAGAATAATAATTACCAATGAAGAAATATGAGGTGGGATCATAGTATTACGGAAACATAGTAACAGAAGTACAAAAGTTTAATTATAAATAAAAAAAAGTTAATCACTTAAGAGCTTTAAAATGGTTTTTAACGTTTGTTTTTTTTTAAATAATGCTGAAAAACGGTGATTTCAGAATATTTTATTATAATAAAATTATATTTCATTGTATTTTTTTTTTTATGAAATACGATGGATTAAATATTATTAAGAACAAAATTATTTTCTTTTCTCGTTTAAACATAAAAGTAATTGAACTTAAATATATTTTTGGTTTATAAAAAGTTACAATGCAAAAATCATTACGGGATATAGCACAGACACTACGTAGTATTCCAAAACCAATTTTGGCTTTGTTCGAGCATAGTTACGTAGTTGTTGTATAAAACTTTAAAATGAGACAGAGTTATAACTGACAAAAATTTTCTGTCATCATACTACATACCTATGTACCTACATACAATATAAATATGTATATTAACGAAATATAAAGATCTAATTTCTATTATTTTCCTTAGGAGATATATACTTTTAAAGAACTTTTTTTTATGTTTGTGCTTATACATATAATTTGTAGTAATAGAGAGTTAGACCATGACTTATTTTATTCATATTTAATATTTACCCAAAGTGAGGACTGCTTTTGTTATCTTGTCCATTACAACAGTGATTTAATAGCGTGAACTACACGAACAGACACTTGGGGCATATAGAAACATATAGGTTTACCAATAAATTTGTATGAAATGGTTTTCAAAATGGTTATTATAACGATTTCTTAATATTCAAGATTGTAAGCTTATTAAGTCATGGACAACAACGATTACAACAATTTATACATATAAAACACTTGTAAGTTATACATGTAATGGACATGTATAACTTACAGGTGTTTTATCTATTTCATATAAAATTTATGAAAAATATTTTTAAAATACTCATATATTACTAATAATATTTAAGTAAAATTATACCTCCACTATGAATAGGGAAAAAATAATTATTATAATATAACATTATATAATCCTTAATTGGGAGATAATAGACACTTGATTATTCTTTTTTGTATTCTCATAAATTATAAAAATCTTTTTTTAATATATTAAAAAATGATTTTATCGAACACCCTAGTTGGTAATCTTAGCAACTACGTCTTCAAGAAAATATATTCATGAAATAAAAAGAAGTAGGTAATCCTAAGTTTCTTAGGAAAAAATTGATAGGGAATAGAATATCTGAAAGCGATTCACGATAATCAGACCTTCATTTGGAATTCATATCAAATTCATGATATGAATTTGTTTCTAAAAAAATGGATTTGCTATCAAAACATAATTGACGTATCTAAAATGCTCCCACCAACAATGAATATATCATACTCGGACTTAAAGGTTTCATGTCTTAAAAATCATCAAAAATCCTTTTAGCGTATTGTGACTGAGCGTCAATAGTGACGGTGACGTATTATTTATTTTTGTTGCATTTTTGAACGGTATAAAAGTATGAATGTATTTATCTTCTTCTTCTACCTGGCAATTTTCCAGCTTAAGCCAGGGTCTGCCTTACATGTTGTGAATAGTTTTGACTAATTGTTTTTAGACCGGCCGCCTGCCTGACATCAACCCTCTTTGGGAATGCATTATTCAATGGTGTCTTAATACTTAGAAAGTACATATGACTCGGAATTTACATTGGTACTTGCCCGGGCCAGGATCGAACCCGCGCCCTCGTGCTTGAGAGGAGATCCTTTTAATCACTAGGCCACTACTGACTTTTATTGGATGTATTTATATACATATATAAATATGTTATTTTGTTCTCTGTATCATGGTTAAAATCTTGACTTCTTTCTTCTTTTTATTGCTTGCCAGGGTTCCACAATGTTTGTAATGATCAGTTAAGTCGAAGTGGTGGAATAGCAAATTCAATTCTTTGTATGGAGAATATATTTTATCGAAATAGATGTCCCATGCAAAGGTACTCTTAGGGGCATTTTACAGCCCAGGTAGTACCATCTACTATTTTAATGACATTGAACACCATTTAGCTTAACATTTGAATAATGGGAGACTTCAGTATGTGCCTGCTTGAAATGGGACACTGGTCACATGTCCAAAATCTTGATATCTATTCCAAGTAGCATTAACTTATATATTAATTCTTGTCCTGCTACTTATTTTTTTTCAAGTTGTACCTCTTCGCTACTGGTTTATCTATTGTTTCTTCATTCTAGTATGACGAATAGCATCCAATGTTTTGCATGTGGTTTTCTTTTAAAATCATAACAAGGATGTTTCTTCTTTATCTCTCATTAAAAACGAAACTCTTGATGCATGACACTAATAATGAGGTTATTTGATTGGACAGCATGGAGAAATAACAGTGCCAGTATCAGTGTTACTTCACTTTAATAATGTTTTAAAATTTAAAAATTACTATTTTGATATCCTTCATAATATTTTGACTTCTTTTAACATACCTAATACTAAATACGATACTCAGTGATTTCATAGTTATCTATACAGATGCTGGCACAGGAGGACAAGAAACTTCTAATCTTTTGTCAACAAGTACTGTTGCTGTTCTACAAGGTGGCGTGTTCTTCTCTACAATTTACATGACATCTTTTTCTTTACACGAGGTAACTTGGAATAAATCACTTATAAATTACAAGAAGTTACAAATATGTAAGGTTTAAGTACTTCACTTTCTTCTTCTGTAACATTCTATATTTATTTTACTTTGGGTAATGTGCAATAAACCATATATTCTAGGTTACGTTATATTCCATAAATTAAATACAAATCAAAAGCCTTTCATATTTCAAGAGAAATGAAAGTGAAAATTTTATTATAATATTTCAAATATAAGGTAAAATTACTTTTTAAGGTTTACTTTTTTCTTCTATTTACATGATATTTAACTTAACTTATGTTAGTTGTAAAATAATATAGTTCTATTTTATGCAAAACTATTATTTTATTTTCCTCAACAAAAAAATAATAATTAAATAATGTGCGAGAAAGTAACTCTGCAAAAGTAATTGAAGTAACTGCAAAATCAGACAAAAATACAATAATATTCAAATCGTCATTAGTACATCATATTCTTTGAACAGTCACATCTTTCCTAAACCAAATCTCTTGCTTACACATAAGTAATTTTTTAAGTATTTCTGTTCAATATTTTGAAATTAAAGTAAATGATAGAAATAATATTAAGTTATATTTATTTAAATGATGTGATTAAAAAATTGTAAGAGAAGGGAGTGTGTAGGTAACTTTTTTTAGTTACTTTATAATATATATTACATGTATACAAAACTCTATACGTATTTGCAAAATATACGTGCGTGTGTATGTATATGTATGTATATTTATATTTTTTTTGTTTCACTGTTTCTTAATACAGTTATAGGTACATTACTTATCTACTTATCATGTATAAAGTTAGCAAATTTTTAAAAAGAAAACTTGTTGTTTTTTTTTTGTTATAAAAAGACAAACATAAAACCAAGGAACAAATTAAAGATTCCTTAGGTGAAAGTACTTCATCGTTAAAAGGTTATATACAGTTTTAGGAATTATGTAGTAACATTCAGAGAACGATTTCAAAATGTGTAATGGTCTCATATAAAAAGATAACAAGGTTTAAGGGC